GGGCGGCGGCGGGGCCCTGCGGAGCCCTCGGCGCCCCTATGGAGCCCTATGGAGCCCTGTGGGCACCTATGGGCGCCCCTGTGGGCCCCTCTACACCCCGGCACACCCCTCCGGACACCTGTAGACCCCGGTACAGCCCCGTGGACCCCTGTAGGCTGCCCCATAGGGCCCTGTGCGGGCATCTATAGACCCCTGTGTACACCACAGACCCCTATACAGCCCTGTGCCAGCCCAAAAAAACTCCGTGGGCCAAAAAAACGCGATGGACCCCTATAAAACCCTGCACAGCCCTGTAAGAGCCCTATACAGCCCTATGCATCTCCGCCCAGCCCTGTCCGGGCCCTATACACAGCCTTGTAGGGGGCCTGTGCATCCTGCACAGCTCCCTACAGCACCTATAAACCCCTACACGTCCCCATACAACCCTTAGGAACTCCCCATGCTGAACGAGCCATATAGCCTGGCCTTTACAGGCCCTATAGCCCCCTAGAGACCCTGTACACCCCCATACATCCCTGTACACCCCATACATCCCTATGTGAGCCCTGTACACCCATATCCAGCCCTATACGGGCCTATACAACCCTATACAACCCATATAGCCCTGCTCAGGCTCTAAACAACTCCATATACACCTATACACCTCGCACAGCCTTGTATAGGCCCTATACAGCCCTCAGAGCACCTTTGTGTCCCTATGAATGCTCTACATCACTACACAATGCTGTAGACCCCTATACACCCCTATACACCCCTGCATAGCCCTGTATGTCCCTTATATCCTACACCCGGCACAGCCCTGTACAGGCCCTATACAACCCTAGGAATCCCTATATAGCCCTATACACACTGCACAGCCCAGTATGGGCCCTGCACAACCCTATACCCCCTCATACACCCTGCACAGCTGTCTATGGGTCTTATACACCCCTATAGACCCCCTACAGACCTGTGTGGGCCTTTCACCCCTAGGGACCCCTAGAGACCCTGTAGAGGCCCTGTATGAGCCCTATACACCCCTACGCACAACTGTAGCTACCTATGCAACCCGCTCAGCCCTGTGCAGGCCCTAAACACCCCTATAGATCCCTATACATTCCTGTGTGAACCTCATACAGCCCTATTCACCCCATACACTCTGCACAGCGCTGCATGAATCCCATATGTGCCTAAACACCCCTATACACTCTGCACAGCTCCCTACAGCCCCTGTACAACTCTTCATACCCCTATATACATCTCTATACCCCTACACACCCTGCAAAGTCCTGCACAAGCCCTATATATCCATATATATCCCATGCAACCCAAACAGCCCTGTGTGGGACCTATACACCCTTATACACTCCTAGAAAAAGCTGTAAACCCCATACAGCACACACTGACTTGTATAGCCCCTATATACCCCTAGAGACCTCTTTACACTCTGCAAAGCCCTATGTGGGCCTTATACACCCCTACACACTCTATATGTCCCATACACACCTACAAGGCCCCATAAAAATCCATACAGCTATACACACCCCTATAGAGCTCTTTACACCCTGCAAAGCCCTGTACAGGCCCTGCACACCCCTACACACTACTCTATGGTTCTCTATGGCACCTATAGGCCCCCTATACACCTCTGAACAGCCCTGTACAGGTCCTATACACCTCTACAATTTTCTGTGGCACCTATAGACCCCCCTAGACACCCCTGCTCAGCTCTTTACCAGCCGTGTACACACTTATGTACCCCTATAGAACCCTGTACAGCCCCTATACACTGCTGTACACCCCTGCACAGTCCTTACAGATGTCTATACAGCCTCTGAACACCCCCAGACATGGGCCTATACAGCCCTGTACATCTCTCGTCCACCTGCACCCCTGCCCCCTGCACACCGCCTTGCACATCCCTGGCTGGGGGATGTCGACACCCCTTGGTCTGGGGGCACCAGCTCTGGCACCCATTGGCTCTGGCACCCACCAGCTCTGAGCACTCCCCCCACACACACTCCGTCGCTCCTAGGCTCCAGCACCCATCGGTTCTGGGCCCCCCTTCCCCAGCTCCAGCACCCTTCAGCTCCAGCACCCTTCAGCTCTGGGCTCCCCTTCCCCAGCTCCAGCA